GTTTCATTACCCATTTAAGCCGTCTCCAGCCATTATTATTCCAATAGGAGGCTACAAGTCGAGCTAAAGTTTTACTTTTTTTTTTAATTACTTTTTACAAAACATATGTTAATAAAAGTATATCAAAAGAATACTTAAAATCTCAACATTTCAATTATGATTTTATTCTGGAAAAAATGTGTGAGGACACATCAGAAATATTTTTTTAAGAGCTGATGTCATGTCCTACATTTTTTCTACTCAAGCAGAATGCGATCATGCGACGGATATCTATCTGAGAAGTAGTTCAGATGTTTACTGAGGTAACAGTTATCGTATTTGACTCGCTCAGAAATGTTTCACAATTTTTACGTGTGGCTGCTACTCCACATACGTTTGTAGTCTTTCCGGTGCCTGGAATTTAAGAATAAGTGGCATTAAAAGGATTAAATCTTATTCTTCAAACACAAAAAGGAACAATAACAAGAGAAACAAAACAGATTTAAACTATTTCAATAGCAAGCTTTTAAAACGGCTTCAGCGTCAAATCTCAAGGCCATCTTAAAAAAAAAAAGTAAAAGCTTGCTATTCACATAGATATAACGCGGATAAGCTTTTTGTATATGTTTTACCGCCAAATGATAGTCTTGAACTGATGTTTCAGGAGTGAAGGTATAGTCTTAAAATTGAAAAGTAGTGGGTGGTCTTGTAGTAAAATGCGTTGAAGTGAGTGATTTGAAATGAAATAAGTTAGTGAGTTGTCTCATATCGCTCTTGATTAGTGACGTTAAAATAAAGTGTTCAATAAATGTTTTTTTTTCTTCTGAATTCAAATAAATAACAAGTAACCGATAAGCATTTAGACTCATCCGTAAGGTTAAAACCGCTTAACTTTTAACAGAAAATCTGAGTAAGGTGCAATAAGTTGCCTTTTATGATAAGGCCAGATCGTAATATATATATTGTGTGTATAACTATTTTATAGTTAAGAAATAAAGGGTCTGCGAGAAATAGCAAGTGGATAATGATTATTCTATAGAAGCGATTGTGATTGACCCGAATCAAGCATATACTTATCTCTTGGGTACATATACAGATTGAAAGATTAAAATTAGATTACAAAAAAACAGAATTTGACAAGGTTTTTCCCTAGGGTTATAAAGGAGGCTGGGAATCAGATATGTGACTCCCTCTCCCTCATTCCTGATAAATCAACAGGCAGGTGCCAATGCTACTCCTGTTTTAAAGGAAACTATAAGAGTAGTTTCTGGAAGTTATCGGCCACTTAATCTTACTTCTGTAGTCAAAACATATCTAGAGAGTCTGATAAGAAAAACAGAAAAAAACCTTCAGAAGATTATTTAGAGTAATATACGACACTATTAAAAGGAAGACAACATGATTTGCCAAAGACAAGTTTTGCCTTTATAGCTTTCTTTCTGAGGATGTTATTTGGATGATGGAAGGCTGTAAACTTTGTGCAATTAAATTTTCAAAAAAAAAAAAAAAAAGATTTTGATAAGGTACCACACAGAAGATAAGCTGAGAATGGTTGAGGAAAGACTGGTTAATTGGACTGAAGAGTGGTTGAATGGCAAAAAGCAAAAGGTTGTATTAATTGTTTTCAGGCAAACTGGACCCTAGTTACTGAAGGAGGGGGGTTATCTCGGGGGCCAATGCTTCGGCTATTCTTTTTCTAATTTACATTCATGATATTGATAAGGGCATAAGTAAATCTGTAAGGTCTGTAGTTGAGATAAACACTCGAGTATTTCTGAGTGCATTGATGATGTTGTGGTGCTATGGAATAATGTTAAGTTGAACAAATACCCTTAATTATAGTAAGTGCAAGATAATGCATTTGGGTTATCATAATTTGGATCACACATTTAATATAGAGCGGAAGAAGATAAGGATATTAGCATAGTGATAATGGGCTTCGCCAAGATTTTCTTAGGGAGTTGGTTGCTGTTCGTGAATAGACATGCGTACACGTGTTTATATGTTTGTTTGTTATGAATTTCGCGCAAAGCTACACGAGGGCTATCTGCGCTAGCCGTCGATAATTTAGCAGTGTAAGACTAGAGGGAAGACAGCTAGTCATCAACACCCACCGCCAATTCTTGGGCTACTCTTTTACCAACGAATAGTGGGATTGACCCTCACATTATAACGCCCCCACGGCTGAAAGGGCGAGCATGTTCGGCGTGACGGAGATTCGAACCCGCGACCCGCAGATTGCTAGTCGAGCGCCCTAACCACCTGGCCATGCCGGGCTATGTTTATATGTATTAGGTCGTCAAGAAATTATAGCACCCTTTTTTTTTTGTAGATGAAAAACCGAACAACTTGTATATCAAACAAAACATTTATTAAATGAAATAATCTCCATTCTTATCGATGATACTTTTCCATCTTACAATCAGGTTGTTAATGTCGTAATTAATGAAATCACTTGGCTTTGAAGCCAAAAAATGTTGATGTCCTCTATAACACCTTCCATATTTGCATACGTTTTCCCATTAAAATGGTGTTGCAGAGAACGAAAAAGATGGTAATCTGATGGTGCCATATCTGCAGAAAATGGTGGATAGAGGAGAACTTCCTAACCCAACTCCATAATCTTGTGTTGCATTGTCGTGGAGAAGAAGAACACCTTTCCGATTGAAGGGCGTTTGTAATGAAGAGCTTGATTAAACGTTCCAGTTACCGACTATAGATCTCTGCATTGACAGTTCGCTCTGGACTGAGGAGTTCGAAATGAATTACTCCTTTGATGTCCCACCAAATGCAAAGCATCACTTTCTGCGGATGGAGTCCAGATTTTGGGGTCGGAAATAGTTTTGTCTAGGACTGAGCCATTATTTTTTGCGTTTAATATTCGCATAGAGAATCCGTTTTTCATCACCAGTGACAATTCTGTTCAAAAAATGGTTCACGCGCATTACGCGCCAAAAGAGAC